GGACTTCATGTTACTTGTTATATGGATGATGGAGAGGGAGTGGACTTCATGTTACTTGTTATATGGATGAGGGAGAGGGAGTGGACTTCATGTTACTTGTTATATGGATGATGGAGAGGGAGTGGACTTCATGTTACTTGTTATATGGATCATGGATGAGGGAGTGGACTTCATGTTACTTGTTATATGGATGATGGAGAGGGAGTGGACTTCATGTTACTTGTTATATGGATGATGGAGAGGGAGTGGACTACTTGTTATATGGATGATGGAGAGGGGTGGACTTCATGTTACTTGTTATATGGATGATGGAGAGGGGTGGACTTCATGTTACTTGTTATGTGGATGATGGAGAGGGGGTGGACTTCATGTTACTTGTTATGTGGATGATGGAGTGGACTTCGTGTTACTTGTTATGTGGATGATGGAGAGGGAGTGGACTTCATATGTTCCAATTCTCAAAAAACTTTAAGTTGTCATACAAAAGATTCATCAAAAGATTAATATTAGTACAGGTGAGGAAAAGTCTAGTTATAATAGTACCGAAGGGTGGTTAAAGTGGATAAAGTTTGTAATGGAAGTCTGGTCCAACTGGACCTTGTTACTAGTGTAGTGCTACAGGGTTCAGTGCTTGGGCCTTTGCTTTTTCTTATTTACATCAATTACATTGATAGGGGCATAATTAGTTAAGTTTGCTGATGATGTTAAAACCATAGGAGTTCTAGCTGTACTGCTGATATTCAAAGATTACTGACTGTCTTGGATCAACTGGTACATTAGGTAAATATTTGACAAATGACCTTTGATCATAGTAAGTGCAAGGTAACACTTCTTCAAGGTAACACTATAATTTATATCACATTTAAAATAGATGGGATCCTTCTCAATAGTATAACTAACAAAATCAATATTGGCATAATGGTGTATAAAACATGCAAACCAATCAAGCAGTGCTCTGTTGTTAGTATCAAAACTAATAAAATTTTAGGGCATATTTAAAAATACACTTATTACAAGTCAAAACAGGTAAATACCACTCTAAACAAATTAACAGTTAGGCCTCTCTTGGAATACTACATACAGCTTTTGATTTCTTTGTGCTATATTCTGAAGAAATTGGGACTAGAAAACACAAATTTAAGATTTGGAAGAGACAGACTAGTCACAAATTTTATCTTTCTAACAAGTTGATATACTAATAGAAGTAGTTGCCATCAGAAGTACTGAAGACCAGTCCTTACAAGTTAAAGAGGGGAGTCAATAATTTCCTTAAAAATAAATGGTGGGTTTAGATTTATGTTTTTCTCAAATGTGGGTGTGCAATGATAGTCTTGAAGGGTCAAATGGTCCTTGCTGTTCGTACATCATAAAGTAATTATCACATTAAGAACAACCTTCCTCACATTTGTGTACACATGTATCTTGGAAAATCACAAATATATAATCACTGAAACTAGCAACACAACCACTGGATTTTGACAATTTTTTATATGGAATATTTCCAAAACAATTATTATGGTTAAAAAATATAGACTAGTTCTTGAATCATGAGTAACTGTTTCATACCTGTTTCCATTTTCATATGGATATCCAGCACAGTCTGGCTTTGTCCAGACATTGAACTCGAGGTCTACAATTTCCTTGGATATAGAACTAGATGAGTTTGTTACTTTTTCACCATTACTGTCAGTGTTTGAAGACTTTTGTTTACCTCCAGTTCCCCAATTACGAACAGAATGTGCCTTGGTTGAGCAGGAGTTTGTTTTATGGTCAACAGATTTTTTGTTGCTTAACAGTGAAGACTGATTATTATGTACACAAGTCTGTTGATTTTTTGCTTGTTGTTCAAAATCTTTGTTGCAGAAAGTAGGGAAATCATTCTTAGTTTGAGGTTCCCAATGGTTTAGCGGATCTTCATCAGTTTCTGTTTGGACAAAAGGTGATATCAAAGGACTGGAACTGCAAGATGTTGTTGACTCATGTAAAACTTGTTCGACTTTAGCAAGATTACCAGAATCGAAGTCAGAAAAAAACAGCAAGCCCCCACAAGTAATCCTCATTTTTACAATAGTTTCCAATAAAATATTGCATCAAATGAACCTTAGACCATAAATCATGCAATCTTCATGTCTACCAGCCTGTTAAAACTGTAACAAGAAACAAATATACAGGTGTGTATGTATATATTATATATATATATATACATACAAAATATTTTATTTCTAAAACAGTATTGACAAGGAAAACAGATATTTTAGATCTATTCATATTTGTAATACATTAATAATTCTAATACACTATAATGTGATACACATTTCTCTTATCCCTAATTTAATACCTTCAATGCCTTCAGCATATCTATTTGTATATGTGCATTGTGCCATAGGATCTATGGCATACACTACCCTTCTTTCTCTAAATCCTGCACAGACATATTTCTCTTGGCTATGTATATAATGCATTCTAAAGGAATTCCCAAGTTTACTAGTTATATGTTATGTAGATCATGCGATTTTTTGACTACATGTTCACTTCTACTTCTAGTACAATTTCTACTGCTGATAAGTTCAAGCTCAATTTAGGGTTAAGTTTTTTAATTGTTTCTTTGTTCTGACAACTTTTGTAATAATGAAAACAATTTCATAATTGTATGTAGTTCCAACAGCCAACAAGATGTTGGAATAACAGAAATTCACAATTAAAAAAAAACCTAAATTGATCTTGAACATATCTTCAGCAGGATAACATGCTATCTTAGAAGTTTTGGGATAAATCCTAGGTGATTTCTTCAACATTCATTGCTTTATTTCCTCAGCTGTGTATCACTATTTATCCTAAATAAGTTCTGAATAGCAGATACCTGTAAAATGTATTTCATGTACATAACATATATAAATTACATGACTGAAAGAAATAGGCCTAAAAACACTGTGCAGATAATTTTTGAGTTCTACTAAATTATAAAAGATGAATCAATATGGCATTAGAAAATAAAAGATTATAATTTCTACCATGAAATAAGAGACAACAGCTTTATCTTTGGAGATGATTCTTTCATAATGCTAAATAACTTCACAGCCAAAAAGATATTCTACTATCAACATCAAAAATGCTATAACATATAGGACTTCCACACTCCCTTACTTAGCTAATTCAGTAGGTGTACATATACTTATAATGCATATGGAATAAAATGTTTTTACACACAGATAATTAATTCACCTCAATACAAATGAAACACACAGTAAAATTAGTAGGCATTACTAATCCAATCACAATTAACAGAATACTTTCACATCCAGACTCACAGCCTGCTTTTGAAATGGACTTAAAATATTATGGTATTTTGGCTATCACATCAGTTTCACTAAAGCAGTAGGCAAATTCATATTATTAACATTCATAGGTGGTTAATATTTTGCTTTTTACATTTGAAACTATAAGAGTTTCACCTAAATGTTTCTCGTTTGTGATAATTTTTTTATAAATCTTTGTAAAATAGAATTAGAAGTGGCAGAGTTTGAAAATTTTGTTTGTAATTTTACTTTAGTACTATAATAGTAGACTTACAAACTAACTCTAAAATAACGATTAAAATTGACAGGGGATTGTACGTACAATACTTAATTTTTAAGAGCTCAAAACTTGTTCTATTTTTTCAGGCTCAGCATTGTAACACAATTTGGAAATAGTGAAAATACTACTATTAATAGTACTAGTAGTAGTATATGTGGCATGAAACAACAAAAGCCTAAACAGTAAACGTTAATTGTCACTCCTGATTTCCTCTAAGTCCAAGTCTAACTTGTAAGTACCACCATCAATTTAATTTATAAACTTAAACGTAAATCTGATAATATTAACCAATTTTATGAACAGCAAGCAATAAAAACTGAAAGTGAATATTAGAATCATCGTTATTATTCAGGACACTGATCAAAATAGTTATTATATTTCATTCAAGGCGAAAAAGTATGAACCATACTGTCAAAAGAAATCCCATATGATTCTCGTTTACATGTTTCAAGCCCTCTATTGGTAAATAAATTAATCAAACAATTTTTCTTTTTTAAGACACAGTGAAATTTAATTTTTGAATTAGTTTTGTTTGTTTGTTGTTAAACACAAAGTTGCACAATGGTTTGTCTGTTGTCTGTCCACCACCTGTATCTAAGCCCTAATTTTATCGTTATAAGTTCACAGATATATATAAGTTTTTCCACATTAACTGTTGGATTTTACAACAAATTATAATTATATTGAGTTGATATTGTTACGTCTCCGTTCGTTCGTTAATGCCCCCCAGTGGCACAGCGGTATGTCTGCGGACTTACAACGCTAAAAACCGGGTTTCGATACCCGTGGTGAGCAGAGCACAGATATCCCATTGTGCAGCTTTGTGTTTAATTACAAACAAACTCGTTCGTTAATTAATTTTCCGGAAATTCGTTCCGACGAAACTTTAGCGACACAAGTCCTTTCTTAAATAAAACTGGTTTATTCTTTCCGAATACAACTTAACCGATACACTTAATTTCAACAGTCGCTCTATAACAAACGGTATAATTCTCAACGAACATCTCACGTGCTCGTGCTCGACAATACTCAGTTGAATTACACATATTGTTCCTGTCACTTTGTGACCGTCTTATAGAAACAAGACTAACACATATCTAGTAAAGGCTAGAGCATTCATGAAGGAACAGGATATTTCTAGAAGGAGGTGGCGTGATACTAGTCACGTGACATCGCTGACGCAACAATGCTAAGAAGTATTACTTAGCTGATTCAAAGTTACTGCCTTGATCTGAATGCAGTTAATAT